CCCACCTTGATGTTCTGCCTTTCCCAAGGCAAAAAGTGATGAGAAAAATGATCATGGACTGAAACCTCTGAAACCATGTGCCAAAATAAATCTTTCTTATTTTAAGTTGATCTTCTCAGATAGTTTGTCCCAGCAACAAAAGGCTAAAACAGGTGACTTTGGAGAATTTTGGCTTTGATTTGAATGAAACTGTCCTCTCAGGGTAGTCTCTAAACATCTTCCATTACAATCATCTAAAATAGTTATTAGTTAATAATTCAGTTGTTTGGGCCCCAGCATAGATTTCATGTTATCAGGATCCCTGTAGCAGAGGCCCAGAACACTAGGGTTTGACTCCAATGTACACTAAAGATTGAAACTAATAACCTCCTATTTTTCTTCTCAGCTCTTTTTTCTTTTCTTTCTTCTTTTTTTGGTACTGAAGATTGAATCCAGGGGCATTCTACCACTGAGCTATATCCCCAGACCTTTAAATTTTTTTTTTTTTTAGTTGTAGTTGGTAACAATACCTTTATTTTATTTAATTTTATGTGGTGCTGAGGATCAAACCCGCGGGCCTCTCACATGCTAGGCGAGCGCTCTACCACTGAGCCACAACCCCAGCCCCCTCCCCAGCCCTTTTTATCTTATTTTTGAGACATGGTCTTGCTAAGTGGCTGAGGCTGCTTTTGAACTTGCAATTCTTCAGCCTCAAACTACCAAGTTGCTGGGAGTATAGGAGTGCACCACCATGCCTGGCTCTGATGGCTTTACTTCCTGAGCTGTCCCTGCCTACACTCTTCTAGGGTCAGCAGTAGCTCTGAGACCATGTACCTGATATATTCTGAGTTCTGGTTACAAATCTTCTTGAATCTTTGAGTTAAGAAATCTTGGAAGATCAAAGGCTCCAAAGGGGAGGAAGAAGTATGAGAGTGAAGCTGCTCCTACTAGCTGTAAACACATGAGCAAAGTGCCACAAGAGGCACTAGTAACATAACATGTACAAGAAAGAAGCAAACCCCTTCCTCGGAACGTTCCTGCCCAGTGGGAGTAAGAGACATGCAAATATTCTAATCACAGTCAATACCATTCTATATCTGCAGTCTCACAGATTTAAATCCATAGATTTAAATGACCAAAGATAAAAAATATTGGAAAAAAAGTATGCACTACACACATACAGACTTTATTTCTTGTTATTATTCCCTAAACAATACAGCATAACAACTACTTACATGGTATTTAAATTGTGTTTGATATTATAAATAATCTAGAAATGATTTAAAGTATACAAGACAATGTGTGGTAATATGCAAATACTATGAGATTCTACATAAGGGACTTGAGCATCTACAGATGCTTCATGGGGTTCTTGGAACCAGTCTCCTGTAGAAACCAAAGAATAACAGGAAAGTGTACATGGCACTTACTAGGAGCCAGGCTCTGGGATTACAAACTCTGTATTTATTCATTCATTTAAACCTTATGAAATAAGTTCTGAGGGGCTGGGGTTGTGACTCTGCAGTAGAGTGCTCGCCTGGCACGTGCGAGGCCCCAGGTTAGATACTCAGCAACACATAAAAATAAATAAATAAAATAAAGGTACTGTGTCCAACTACAACTAAAAAAATATTTTTTTAAAAAAGAAGTTCTGCACGAAGAACTAACTTTATTCTGTATGGTGGTACAGGGATGCATAGAGGTTGAGACCCAGAGAATAGTGAATTCTGCCTGAGCTGATCCAGAAGAGCTTCATGAAGGTGATTATCAGATGAACCAGAAGTTAAGCTCATGAGGTAGAGCACAAAAGAATCAGACAGCATGTGCCAAGCACAGAAAGGTGAGACAACACAGTATGTTTCAAAAATGCAAACAGTATAGTGAGTACAAAGGGCAAGGGATACGCTTGAAGAAGTAAGCTTCGGCCAGATCATTAAAAATTCTTTTGCTAGGAATGGGGTATGGCTCAGTGGCAGAGATCTTGCTTAGCACATCTGAGGTCTGGAGTTTGCCAGCATCTCTCTCTCACACACACACACACACACACACACACACACACACATACAGAATCTTTTTTTAATATTATACTTTATGTGGTTATAATTTTTAATATTTTTTAGTTATACATAGACACAATATCTTTATTTTGTTTATTTATTTTTATGTGGTGTTGAGGATCAAACCAGGATCTCTCATGTGTGAGGTGAGTGCTCTACCACTGACCCACAACCCCAGCCCCATATACAGAATCTTGTCATATTTTAACGGTTTAGACTTTCTTCTCAAAGTGAGGGATGATAGTTAGGGGTGATATAATCAGTTTTGCATTTGCCCAGAATTGTGGTGAAAACAACATGGAAAAAAATTGGTAGGAAAAAAAAAAAAGAAATTGGAAGGGTTGGTATGGAAATGAAGTGAGTAGAGTCCTCACGGAGAAAAAGGCAGGAGAAAGTGAAGTAGAACAGAAGTCAGAATGAAAAAAAAAAGGTGGGTTTGTTGGTTATGTAGAAAATAGAACTGATTAGATTTGATGATGAATTAGATTTGAAGAGAAGGAAGGACAGAGTTGAGGGTGGCCTGGGTTTTCTGACTCATGGTGCTATGAAGGGAAGTGTCCTGCACAGATTACAGAACCCAGAACAGATCATAAAAAGAAAGTTAATGGCTTCTAGTGCTTAGTCTGTCACATAAGAAACTTGGAAGTCCTCACTCCCATCCTCACAAGAAGGAAAAAGATGAACAAACTGAAAATTCAATACTCTTCCTGGATCTACCAGAGAACTGCAGACACAAAGCAAACTGCTGTCCCCAAATTAGAGATAAACAGGTAGATACAGAGAATTCCAATTTACCAGCAAAAGCCCAGGAGCAGAAGCTTCTAYGGAAACCAGTACCAGGGTTAGAAAAATTAAACTGTAATTGACAAATAGCTAGAGGCTCAGTGCAGATAAATTTGAGAGTTAAAAACTCCAGGGGGTCCCCTTCTTAAGGGGGGTCCCCATGAATCTATGAGTTTTACCTCAAGAAATTTACCAGGTTATCACAGTAAAGACTAAAGAAAATGCTCATTGGACTTCTGGCAGGGGGAGAAAGAAAGTGGCCTTTAAAAAAATTACTTTTAATTTTAATTTTGAGACAGGGTCTTGCTAAATTGCAGAGCTGTCCTTGAACTTTCAATTCTCCTTCTTCAGCCTTTCAAATTGCTGGGATTAGAGGCATGAGCYACCATGTCTGGCCAAAAGTGGCCATTTTGAAATACATTAAGAACATTCTATTTTTAACAAGGTTTGTCCTCAAGAGAAACTTAGTCTTACTAACTTAGGACATAAAGAGAGCCCAATTCATCTGGGAAAAGGGAAATCCCTGCTCTAGCCTCCTAGCATTTCACATGAGGAAGGGAAACATGCAACTTCAGCTTTAGCGTTCCTCTTTGACCTGTTTGGGGCAGTAGGAAATGGGGGGTGTCAGGGACTGAGAAGCATTTGTGAAAGTCACAGCCCCAGGCACAGGTTCTAAGAAACTGAAACCTAATTATAGGATTCTAGAATGTTCCCCTCTCCATACTTTAACACCAATAGAGCTCTGTGTAATAATAGGGGAATGCAAAAGAACTGCACATCTTGGACCTTATTTAAGAAATCTCTTGGGACTACCAAAGACAACAGGGGAGTCAATGACAAGGATGCTGGAAGAAATTTTAGCTCCTAACATCTACAACTAACAATAAACATAGCCTAACCCCTAGGCAGATAAACATAAAACACTTGACTTTCCACAAAAAAAAAAACAAAACAACACCACCACCAAAATGACATGGCAGACTAAAAGACAAACAACAACACCCATTTGAAGAGACATAGCAAACATAAGAATCAGACTCAGATATAGAAGAGATACTGGAATTATCAGACCGAGAATTTAAACTATAGTCAATATGCCCTGGCTCTAATGGAAAAAGTGGACAACATGCAAGAACAGAAGGGTAATGTAAACAGAGGACAGGAAATTCTAAAAAGAACCAAAAGGAGGGACTGGGATTATGGCTCAGTGGTAGAGCACTTGCCTAGCACATGTGAGGTGCTGCGTTCGATCTTCAGCACCACATAAAAATAAACAAATAAAGGTATTATGCCCAACTATAAATTTTTTTTAAAAGAACCAAAAGGAAATGCTAGAAATAAAAAAAACTGTAATAGAAATTAAAAATGCCTTTGATGGGCTTTTTAATAGAGTGGACACAGCTGAGGAGAGAGTCAGCCTGAAGAATTTCCAAAGCTGAAATGCAGAGGGAAAATAATTTAAGAAGAACAGAATATCCATGCATTGTGGGATAATCACAAAAAGTGTGGCATACACTAATGAGAATAGCAGAGAAAAACAGAAAAAAAAAATGTTTGAAACAATATGGCTGAGAATTTCCCAAAATTAATGTTACCAAAAATAGATTCAGGAGGCTCACAGAACAGCATCCAGGATAAATGTCAAACAAACAAACACAAAACAGAACCACTACCATCATATAGGCATATCATATCCAGATTGCAGAAACTCTAAAGACAAAAAAAAAAAAAAAAGGAAAGAAAGAAAGAGAGTAAGGGATGGGAATAGGCTGGGGAAACTTATCTACAGAAGAGTAAGGATAAGAATTACATTGGCCTTCCATTCAGAAACCATGAAAGCAGAAAAGGAGTGAAACATTTGCAGTGTTGAAGAAAAATTTCAAAACTCTCCAAATCTTGAGTTCTGTATCCAAAAAATTATGCTTTAAAAGGAAATAAATACTTTCCAAAAAAAAGTTGAGGAAATGTATTACCATTAGACCTGTCTTGCAAGATATGTTAGAAGAAATGCATTAGAATGAAAATTATGTAGGTCAGAAATTCAAGTCTACATAAAGGAATGGTAAAGAAGGAATAAGTGAAGTAAAAATGGGAGATGACTAGAATTTCCTGTACCCAAGAAAATAGTCAATTCAATAAGGGACTGACTCAAGTTAAGTACTCAACAAAAATCTGAAAGGAAATTATTTTTAAATTTTATAACTAGATACAGAAGAAACAGAAAAGCACAAAATATTGCATATAACCCCACTATGCAGAGAAGACCAGTTAACAATCTGATGCCACTTTAACTTTTGCAGAACTTGGAATTGAACCCAGGGGCACTCTACCACTGCTTTACACGCAGCCCTTTTAAGACAAGGTCTTGCTAATTGAGTTGCCCATGCTCTCTGGCCTCGAATTTGTGATCCTCCAGAGTAGCTAGAATTACAGGTGCAACCAATCACGGTTCGTATTTTTTTCCGGTACCGCGGATTGAACCAGGGGTGCTTAACAACTAATACACTATTCCTATACCTTTTATCATTTATTTTGAGACAGGGTCTCACTAAACTGACGCTGGCCTCAAATTTGTGATTCTTCTGCCTCAACCTCCCGGAGTCCCAGGATTACAGACGTCCGCCACTGTGCCCAGTTCATATTTTACTTCTTAAAGGCGAGCGCCCTCTTCTGTTTGGCTAAATTCTTACTGGAAGCAGCATGTCGCTGGGGAAGGTTTCGCAGGTGCTAGTTGAGGACTGAGATTTAAGCACTTGTCATTTCAACGAACGAAAATAATGGACAGAGAAGATTGCATGATCTCCGAATTAGAAAGTCGGGCCTCGGAAGTGACACGACTTTTCAGTAGGTTCTGCGAAAAGAAGCAGGAATCGAGAAGGCCCCGACGGGCGAGGAGCGGTCACAGATGTCTCAGCAGCCAATTAAAGCACTAGCAGCCGGGGGGCGGAGCCTGAGAGAGGCCGGACCTGCGGAGGCGCGGCCTTATGACGCGACGTCACACTTCCCTGTCTGGCAGACTATTGGTTCCCTTTTACCATCCTTTTCCGGGGCAAGGGAAACTAGTCTCAGAGCCGGAAGTGAGGTACCTTCGAGTTCCAGATAGCGGTGGCGCTTAAAGCTGAGTGATCCTGGTACCATTGGAGACGCCCTGCTCCTCCATTCAGGCTCCATCCTGAGCTAGGAGAAGCCCCCAGAATTCTGGCGACCTATAGAAGAGAATTGAGTCAGATCGCAGCGTATCCGGCGCACCACCAAAGAGCCGAATCAGAGGGCCCCCGGAAACCCGCCTCCAGGAGGGGTCGGGAAGTCTCTCCAAGGTGGAAGAAGCCTGCAGGAACAGCCCTGGGGCGGAGACGRGGCCATGGCCACGCCTCCGGGGGCCGGCCCCGCTACTTTGCGCTTCGCCGCGGCAGCCAGCTGGCAAGTAGTGCGCCAACGCAGCGTGGAGCACTTTCCGAGAGTACTAGAATTTTTGGGATCCCTGCGCGCTGCTGCTCCAGGCTTGGTTCGCTACCGGCACCATGAACGCCTTTGTATGGGCCTAAAGGCCAAGGTATTGGGGCGGAACGGAAGACCTGAGAGGGCCGAAGGTTGGGGGGCAGGGAGATACCAGTTGGAAAAGAGTGGTTTGCCCCGAGTGGGTATTCTGAGCTTAGTATCGTGCAGGTGGTGGTGGAGCTGATCCTTCAGGGCCGGCCTTGGCCCCAGGTCCTGAATGCCCTGAATCACCACTTCCCAGAATCTGGACTTGTAGTGCGGGACCCTAAAGCTGTGAGTAAATCTTGCAAACAAGCCCTAACCCCAGTTGCACTTAAAAGTTGCCCCTGTTACCCTCAACTTCTCTGCCTTTCCTATCAACAGACAAAGCAGGATCTGAGGAAGATTTTGGAGGCACAGGAGACTTTTTGCCAGCAGGTGAAGCAGCTGTCAGAGGTCCCTGTAGATTTGGCTTCAAAGCTGCAGGTGAGACTGGGTAGTTTGGAGGCTGTTAGGTGGTTGTTCCTATTTTCTGTAATCCTTTTCTGACCTGCTTGTCTTTCTCCACTGTAGGAACTTAAACAAGAGTATGGGGAACCCTTTCTGGATGCTATGGAAAAGCTGTTTTTTGAATACATGTGTCAGCTGGAAAAAGCATTGCCTTCAGTGCAGACACAGCAGGTTTTGTTGGAGCAAAACACTTAAGGACAGAGTGTGGGGTGGGATTATTGTATCAAGGACTGCTTTTTATGCTTCTTTTCCTGCCCACAGCTTCAGGATGTGCTGAGTTGGATGCAGCCTGGAGTTTCTATCACCTCTTCTGTTGCCTTGAGCCAATATGGTGTGGACATGGGGTGGCCACTTCCAGGTATTAGTACCACCTGGGATAACTAGCTATTTGTGGATGTGGTGTTTAGTATGACATATTTTGAGTCAGTCAACTTGAAGTTAGGTGGGCCTGAAGCATAAGGAACCTGAGCAAATTAATCTGTTACTATCTATTATTCATTTTTTTTCTGGTACTGGTAGTGAACCCAGGGGTGCTTAACCACTGAGCTACGTCTGCACCCCTTTTTAAAATTTTGGGACAGGGCTTCACAAAGTTACTTAGGGCCTCATCAAGTTGCTGAGGCTGGCCTTGAACTGGTGATCTTCCTGCCTCAGCCTTCTAGGTTGCTGGAATTACAGGTATGTGCCACCATGCCCAGTTATCTATTCTCTTTATAAGAAGCCTCATTTTCTCTTTCAGAGTGCTCTGTTTCTGATTCAGTGAACCTGACAGAGATGGAACAAAATCCTCCTCTGCAACAGGCACTAGCACCCCATAGTCCTCTGCCAAAAGCCAAGCCTGGCCCTCAGGGACCAGCTTCAAGGAAGCACCCAGAACGTTTGGCAGGCCACCACTTCAATTTGGCTCCTCTGGGCCAGCGAAGAACCCGGTCCCAATGGACATCTGCTAGGGAAGGCCATAAGGAGCGCCCAATGGTCATGCTGTTCCCCTTTAGAAATTTGGGCACACCAACCCAGGTCATATCTAAATCTGACAGCAGGGAAGAGCACGGAATTCATACAGTAGACCCATCAGATGCTGTGGGCACAAGAACAGCCATCACGGGGAAGTCTAAGAGTCCATCTCAGATCCTGGGGGAAAGTGCTCTAAAGGAGAACCCTGCTGACTTATCTGCCTCAGAGCAAAAAGAGTGAGTGTTAGCTTTGCTTCTTCCTAGTAGGACCACACTGTTTACTTGCTTTTCTTTCACACTGTTCTTTGCTTGCTTCTACCTCAGGAATTGCTTGGATTGCTATATTGACCCACTGAGACTATCCTTATCACCTCCTAGGGCCAAGAATCCAGGTAGGTAAGCTGAGTCAGGTTTTGCTTAGACAGTCTGTTTTCTTAGATACTTTTCAGAAACTTTGTTCACCTAGAAAGAGTATTTTGATTCTGGTTTCCTTCCTCCAGTGTGTTCCCCATCTCTGTGCAGCTCTGTCATTACCATAGGAGACTTGGTTTTGGACTCTGATGAGGAAGAAAATAGCCAGAGAGAAGGAAAGGTGAGTAGGAAGGGAAAAGGTGAGTAGGGAAAAGGATGGGCAGAACAAGCCTGAAAAATCCACATGCTTCAGAATACGGAGGATTTAGGGGATGGTTTTTCGACAACAGGATCTCCTGCTCCCTTCTCTGTAGGAGTCTCTGGAAAACTATCAGAAGACAAAGTTTGACACTCTGATTCCTACCTTCTGTGAATATCTCCCCACTTCTGGCCCCAATATGGTGCCCACTGCTTCCTGTGACCACCTACGCAGCTCTAGACCCTTGTGATAGCACTGGAATGCCCTCTTCCTCCTTGGTCTTTAGGCAGTTTAGTGGGAATGAAGTGGAAACCAGATTTGGATTGTCTGACTACATTACTAAGAACTTTGTGATGCTTGATAATTAAACTTTAGATTTGTTACAACACTGTCTTGATGTGAGGAAGGACTTCTTTAGGTCAGTGGATGTCATTTCTTAGACAAAGAAGCAGGTTTCCAGAGTTGGAAGAATCCCTACCATTTTACTTCCCTTAGAAAGTGTTATTCAGATGTGCCCAGAAGTTGAGAGCCTGGAAGAGAAATGTCTTTTTATTGTTCTGAAAATATATGCCTAATGCTGGAATATATTTTATAAACTCTCATGCTGCCAATTCACCTGGGGGTGGTGGTACTAGAATGGAAACACTTCGTGGGAATAATACTTACTGTCTTTAATACCACTGGGTCAATGCTAATCACTACCTTCCTACTTTGGAGCAACACCCAGATGTCAGCCTTGTGCAGAAAGCCTTAGCATCTCTTTTATAGTGAGACCTCTTTTTATTGAGTTATCTCAAATATATAAAAACTTCCGAGCTTTTTAGATATTTAAAGATCTCATTTAATGAAGCTGATTAATAAGACATAATTCCAAAAGCCTGCCCCATCCAGACCAAGGCCATATAGAATATTTATGATTTAATCAGTATCTTTTCATCTTCAGGATGCTGGGTCCCCAGATACCCATTCGATTATCTTACTTCATTTTCAGACTGTATTCTTCCTCACTTCCTCCCCAGTAAGTGCTCTGGGCATCTTGTGTGTACAAACAGAGAAGTATAGCGTTATTACAGGCGCTCTCAGGAGGAAGACAATGGGAACTGTTAAATGCACTGCCACAGTAGTTAGAATGGGYGAGAAACCCATTTGGGAGACCCTGTTGCGAAGTATTGGTGCCTTGAGCAGGCAGAAATGCTCAGGTCTAGTGTGCATCACTGAAGATTGGATTCACCTGCTGGGTGACTCGGATGAAAGTAGTTCTCCGGCTCAACTCCTTTAGCTTAGCTGCTCCCACATAGGTGCATGTAGATCGGATCCCTCCTAGGATGTCACGAATGGTATGCTCCACATCCCCTTTAAAGGGGACTTCTACTGTCTTTCCCTCTGAGGCCCTTGAAATAGGAAAAAGTTATTACCTTCTTATTCTAGATTCCTTAAGCTCAATGACTCTTCTGTCTCTAACATTTAACACCATGTCACCATTTTTCCTCCTAAGAATTATATCATCTATTTTCCAGCAGCTGTGAGCTCTGCCACCATACTATGCAGTCACATTCTCCAAGAACCCTCAGCTTCTGGTCCTCCACACATACCTGTACTCTGCCACGCCACCAGCGTACTTCTTCATGGCCATTTCAGAACTCATTCCATAGAAGAGTTTGTACTTCTTGCCATCCCTCTCGATGAGCTCACCACCTGACTCACTGTGCCCAGCCAGCATGCCACCGAGCATCACAAAGTCAGCCCCTGCCCCTGCCAAAATCAAAGAGGTAGGAAAGATATTCCTCTGGCCAAGATGCCCACATGGCCCCCCTTCAAAAGCAACTCATGCCAAATTCTCAGTCCTGACAATGTCTCCAGCATCTTCCCAGCACTGTTTTTCTCTCTGACCCATATCCACAAAGGCCTGYTTTGACCTAGTTTATTCCTCTGGGCCTGATTTCCTCAAGATTTTAAAAATMGCCTCTGGAGATTCCCTGCCCAACTTCTGCTTTCATTGTCTTCTCATTATTTTGTTTTGTTTTGTTGCTCCCATCTGAGTAAAACATCACGTGTCCCAACAATAGTAGTCTCATTTTAATGTGAAGAAAAACTGAAAATGCAGGCTTATAGTCCCATTCTTCAGAGTCAGTGGCTCAGGAATTTACAGATGGCCCTGGCTCACACTTGGAGCATCTAAATTAGTCTCAGGATTTCCCCTGCTGGCTTACCCCAGGCGACACCACAGGCTTCAGGGTCACTACTTCATATTATGAGAGAATCTGAATGGCTTCCTGAGTCTCTCCTACCCTGACCCTAGATCCTGAGAGATAATATATCCTCTTCTACAGGATCCTTCTTCTGTGCCCTCCCTAACTCCTTACCAAAAGCTTTGGCCACATCCCCAGGGCAGCTGCAACCTCCATCCTGCAAAATAAAGACCACAGTGAAGAGACAGCATGGATTTTCCAAGCGCTCTCAGCAGTGTCCCAACAGTCCACTTCAAAACTGACATGCACTCAAGAGTCCTGACCCATATCTACTAGAGCCTCCATACTGCAGAAAACCTGTTGGCAGCCTCATACCCTAAGACTTTGGGCCTTACTGAAATGATGTGGCCTTTGAGGCCATGAGCAGCATCTGCACACTCCATCACTGCACTGAGCTGTGGATACCCCACTCCAGTTTTCTTCCGGGTTGTACACACAGAGCCTAGGAAGAACATGCCAAAGGTGAGAGTGAATTCACTCTGTGAATTTGCCACTGAAGGTGAGAGTGAATTCACTCTGTGAATTGGCCTCAATGAAATAGCTTACCTGGCCCAATTCCCACTTTGATGATGTCAGCCCCAGAGAGGATCAACTCTTCCACCATCTCTCCTGTTACCACATTCCCTGCCTGGGACAGAGCAGTCAAAATAAGAACATCCTTATGGTCAGAAATGGACACAAGCTTATTTGCTCTTAGATGGCATGCCTGGATTATGACTTCATATTATGAGAGACTAATACAAAGAAAGGATACCTAGGTTCCCTATGTTGGGACCTCTGAGGGCTTCTACACTAGCTACTTCAAAGAACCCTGCTCTCTATACTAAGCTAGCTAGATAGGGAGCAATGGTGGAAACTGGTGTCACCGTTGAAATGAGGGTAAAGCCAGGGTCCAGGATGCACTTTACTATCTCAGCAAGGTGGTATGGCCCACAGGGGAGAAGTGAGATGGCATGAAGAAGTGTTCAGTGAAGCAAAAGAAATTACTCGATCAAACTCAGATCTGACTYAAGAGTAGATTTATCTCCAACATACCCTGTTCTGTCATAGAACCTCTCTGGTTTCAGGGAAAGGGGAAGACATGGTAATGTAGGCTAAATACTCCTCCCAACTGTATTTGCTTTTGATGGTCAGCAGAGACCTTCAATGCTATGAAAGAAATGGGTTCTTGTCATCCCCTCCACAAGCTTGTAAAAAAATTAAACATTATTTCATGTGATACCTTTTATGTGATTGTCCATTTCAATGGGCAGATGTATATGTACCAGAGTAATGTACAATGCATACATGTTCCATCATGGTTTTGTGAGTGATATCAAGGACACTGGATTTACAAAAACTAAATCAAGGATTGGAGATATTGCACTGCTAATAAACATTTTAGACTTGGAATCATGGTATAATCAATCACCCAGTAATATTGTGTGGACTAGAAATAGCATAATGTAACAGAAAAATGAATTGATGTAACAAAATGAARTGTTAAGAAAAAGAGGGGCTGGGGATGTGGCTCAAGCGGTAGCGCGCTCGCCTGGCATGCGTGCGGCCCGGGTTCGATCCTCAGCACCACATACCAACAAAGATGTTGTGTCCGCCGAGAACTAAAAAAAAATAAATATTAAAAATTCTCTCTCTCTCTCTCTCTCTCTCCCCTCTCTCACTCTCTCTTTAAAAAAAAAAAAAAAAAGAGAGGAAGGTAACAACTACAGGATAATAAAAACATACCATGATGGTGTGTTGAGGGAAGCGCTTCCGTACATCCTTTACAAATTCAACAAAGTGTTCAGAGTAGCCATTTGCCACATCTAGGCATATATATTTCACCTGGGGAATAGCTTCCAGGATCTGTTCCAGTTGCTCAAAGTCAGAAGAGCCGGTCCCTGAACTGGCAGCTAGATACTGTAGAAGAAACACGGTCATTGACATGAGAAGCATTAGACTAGCCTGTGACATTATATTATCAGAGATGATCTAGTGACCAAAGGGGTAAAGGGTGAGGGTTGGTTCCTGGCAGCCAAAAATGGTTCCCTGAAAAACGGACAAGGAAGGGAGCAGGAGGGGCCCAGTGTTACCTGAAGACAATCAGGATTCTGGCCAGCAAACTCTTGCCACTGATGAAGACTGTAATGTTTATGGACAGCAGTGAAGAGGGAGAACTGGGAAGAGAAGCATTCAGAAAGGAGAAAACATTATCAGGATCTTTTTCTCTAAAAATAGATCTTTATACTCTTCTGAGAGAAAAAAACAATTGGAGTTTGGAAGGAAAACAAGTTCTTGGCTGAGCTGGGATTTGAGTTCGACCATTATTATCCCTACAAATTCCAGTAGAGCTTTTTCAACTTGAAACTAGTATTTAATTATTCCTACTAAAGTACTGAGTCATCTCGATTTCACCAGCTAGCATATACATTGCTTTTGACCTAAAAGGTGAGAAAGACAAGCTCTTGGTGTAAGGGACAAGTAGCAGATACGTAGGAACCATGAAGAGGCTAGATGGAGCCAGTGATTGTCTGTGCTTACGCAGTCCCTCCTCCTAAGTACTCTAGTACTAAATCTGTCTTTAGTATCTTCTGATTCATTTGCCAGCAGTAATTCAGTGAGTACAGATGCCCACAAAAAGAAAACCTTAAGCTTAGTGGAGCTGTTAAGGGGCCATACCATCCTTTATTCAGGAGTAAGGACAAGTATTCTTTGATGGGGACATAGACAAGAAAAGTCTATTTCAGTCAACCAAGTTGTAAGACAATGACTTATCAGGTTTATATTCTCTAGCCCAACAAATGACAATGTCCCAGTACTTTGAGAAAGCCATTCAAAAGCCACCGTGGCCAGGCTCATGCCTGTAATCCCAGCTACTTGGGAGACTGACTCAGTAGGATCACAAGTGCAAGGTCAGCCTGGGCAACTTGGTGAAACCCTGTCTCAAAAAAATTTTTTAAATGTATTTCAATGATACAGCATGACCCTTGGGTTCAATCCCAGATACTGAGAGAAACAAAACAAAAACCACTGTACACAGGGTTTGTGCTTTAAAAGTGCAAACATGCAAACAGACATGAGACAGCACAAATCTTGCAATGCACCAGAAATGCAAGGAAGTCATGTATCAGTTAGCAGCAGAAAGTGCTATACTTAGAGATGATCATCAATACCATCTAGCTAAAATCTCGTATTAAATTGTACCTTCTCAGCAACACTGTTAATATGTTGATTAAGTTGCTCTAGGAGGTCAACATGCCTTGGAGATGCAGTGGCCTAGTGTGGCATGAATACATCTAATACATAACATAATCTAGGAAAATATGTTTGCTTGCATCCGACCTTTTCATAATTATTAGGAAACTTGGCTCTGTCTCTAAAATCTGACTTTAGTACTCATCAGCAATACTGAAAAGCCAGTCTCAATATAAAGTATTAAGACATTCTCCAAGAAGGTTCATGTATTATAGCATGCTGGTTAAATCTCCAGTCAGATTTACCATTCCCGAAGTCTACTGGTCAGGGAAAGCAGACTATGGGTAACAGCAGGATTCCTAAGCAGATAAGTTAGAAAGACAACAAAAATAATAAAACTGCATAACTATCAATCTCAGGAGAAATAAAAACAGACATTCCACAAAGAGACAGCAATTTGAAACAGGAAGATGGATTCTTTAAGGCTAACAGAACCACAATCAGCAACAAAATCCATCAACTATGGTTACGTGGATTGACCAGTAGAGTGCTTGTATTCTCAAAGTGTCCAGGTAACCTTCTCAGCTAACAAGTACAGAGGCAGGTAATACTACTGACAGGAGCAGTGTCTTCCATTTTCAAAGTGAACAACCTGCATTTAAGAAAAAAAAACCACTCCATTTGGGGAATATCCCAGAAATTCCCAGGAACCTAGGACTTATAAGGAAGAAAAAAAAAAAGGAGAAAAGAAGACATAAAAGTAATAAGCTGCTTCTCCCTAGAATATTCTATTTAAGAATTTTTGAATGTTCAACCTGTATTTAGTTTCTAGACTAAACCAGTGAATGCTGAGTGTTATGAATAACGGTGTGTTTGAAGGGATGCCTGTGATTGAAACAGGTAACCTGGGTGGTGGGAAAAGTTGGTAAGGTGTATAAAGATAAGGAAAAAAAGTTCTGTTCAGTTATCAGAAAAATGGGGCAAAATTTCCCAGTGCAGGGGTGTCCACCTGTAATCCCAGAAACTGGAGTGGCTGAGACAGGAGGATTACAAATTTGAGGCCAGCTTCAGTAACTTAGCAAGGTCCTAAGCAACTTAGTGAGACAAGCTTAGTTTCTCAAAATGAAAAACAAAAAGGGCTGGGGATGTAGCTCAGTGACAATGTGTCTCTGAGTTCAATTGCTGGTACAGAAAAAGAAAAAAAAAAAAAAGGAGGGCAAAATTTAACTCTGAATCTCACTAGTTCAGATAGCCCTTATTTATTTATTTATTTATTTATGGTACCGGGGATTGAACTCAAGGGTGCTCACCACTGAGCCACATCCCCAGCCCTATTTTGTATTTTATTTAGAGACAGGGTCTCACTGAGTTGCTTAGCGCCTCGCAGTTGCTGAGGCTGGCTCCTGTCTCAGCCTCCCAAGCCACTGGGAATACAGGCATGCGCCACCTCGCCAGGCTCAGATAATGGGGCCTTAGTACTGGAGAAAACAGTAAATAGAGCATCCTAACTGCTATTTGCCAGAGGTAACTGAGAATGGGGAGAGGGATGCAAACGCTTCTATAGCCATTGAGGCAACCAGACACCTACCTTACAAAGAACCTTGGCCATTTCAAAGGTGCCTACAGTATCCATATTAGCAGCAATGATCGGGACGCCATTGTACATCTGCTTTGAATTCCGAAATGAAAAGGATCTTGTGAGATCCACCTGCAGATGTGAACAGAAAACAGTATTTTATTCATCCGGAAAACACATTAGGACAAGGACCAGGCAGTTTTCTTGCTCCTGCTTCTGTCCAGGAGCTTAGGGTTAAAAAAGAGGAAATACTAAAGCTGGCTTACCTCACTTCGAGACTTTAGGGTGCTGCGTTTTGGCCTCAAAAGAACATCCTTGAAGTCTAGTTTCACGTCATTGTCGATATGAGGCATGGCGGGGTCTGGAATCTGAGTATTGGAGGGTAGGAAGTCAGGAGGAATCTGAATCAATATTCCCTTGGGCCTTAATGTCCTGATGTGGCTGGGACAGGGTGCATCTCTCCTGGCTTAAATCGTGGAAGGTCGGGTTATAAGGCAAGGTTTGGGCCCTGAAGCAGATCGCCGGCACTCGTCCTGGCCTCGATGCTTCCATCTCAAGTACAGATTGTTGGGTAGAATTGGGTTGGTGAACCGAAGTGTTCACTTTACCCAGCTACTTTCCCTGCCCACCCCTGCAATGAGGAGTCAGATTTAGGGAGAAGAAATGGGAAGGTTTCAATCAACTTCCGGCATGGGGGTACTCACTTCCTGTTGCCTTGGTGTCAGTTGACCGAAACTCCCCTAGCTTAGCTACTAGACTCGTGCAGCCCCGCTGAGCCTTGTGGGGGTCACGCCAACAGGTTCCGCTAATTGCCGGTAAGACAACTAATCGAGGAATTCCACCTTCGGGAGCGGCCGTGCGAGGCCTTCTGGGTAACTGAGTTCACACACTGAAGTTGCCGTTGGATCTGAGCGGCAGAAAACTACAACTTCCAGGGTGCAACGAGCAGAGCGGCTTTCTGGCATGATGGGAGAAGTAGTTCGTTTTGCCCCAGCTTTCCGCTAGCCCTGACTCCTTAAGGATTCTCAGAATTAGGAAAGCGTCATTTCTGCTACACTTAATCCGGCTGCGTTATTTTATTGACAACGCAACTGAAACGAAGCGCGGGAGCAGTCGTGAGCTTTTCGGAAACCCTGTAGAAACGGGGGGGGTGTGGCCAGAGGGTGACCCGGAAGCAGAAGTGACTCCCACAAGCGGAGTGTTAGGAAGCGTCGGCGGCGACCGCAGCGGGAGAAGCAGCAATTTATCTGTTTGCAGCCACAATCTGGGAAGAAGATGCTAATTAAAGTGAAGGTGGGAGCACTTCCACGCTTGCCAAGACTCAGTGGTACTGGGCTGGCCGCTGCGCCTTACGGGAAAAGCGGGGAAGGAAAACCACGCCTTATCCTGGAGAGTGCTGACAGCCTCGGGGCTCAGCGCGAGGGGTCATGGGAAATAGGGGGACCCCGGTGGGCTTTGAGAGCTGGAGGCTGGCCCCGCCTGACGACCCTAGGGTCTCGCTTCATTCGAACCCGCTCTGTCTAGAGAAAGTCTAGCAGCAGCTTGCCACCCCTATCCCCGGATTCTTGAGAAAAGCTCTGCCCTCCATTCTTCATGCCCAGGTTATCTGCTGCTCGCAGCCCCTAATGTAGGCTATCTCCAAGCACAGTGCTGAAACATTAGCTTGGGAAAACTGGAGGTCTCCCAAAGGCTATAGACTATAAGCTTTTGCTGGTGGTTGCCGAGATGTGTGTAAGCCATTCTTGAGGAGCTGGGATTCAGTCGTCTTTTTGCTTTTCTGAGCTGTGCATCGCTTTCTTGACGGAGGCAAGTAGTTACGGTTTCTTAGATCTTGGTACTAGCTGTCTTCCTTATTTTCATCTCTCATCTCCTGTGATAGTTCTTCACCAATTTTTAACTCCTCTTATTTTCTCTTTTGTACTTTTAGCCAGAGACAAAAAAACAAAACAAAAAAAAAAACCCTACAATCGACACAGTCCAACACTAGTTTGCCTTTTTATAGCTTAGTAATTCTGTCCTTATTTTATCAGCTTATTAGCATGTTTACAATATGTCATAGCCATTCTTTTTTTTAAATTTTTTTTAGTTGTAGATGGACACAATACCTTTATTTTATTTGTTTTTATGTGGTGCTGAGGATCGAACCCAGGGCCTTGTATGTGTTAGGCCAGCGCTCTACCGCTGAGCCCCAGCCCCCGTCATAGCCATTCTTAAGCTTCTCTTCTAGTCCTTCCAAATTATCTCTTGCCAGAGAGCATGTTGAAAATCATTGTTTTTCAGACTTTTTGAAACCTAAAAAAGAGTTGTAAAATCAACTCTGTGGGTCGCAAGCACCATTAAAAAAAGAAAAGATCAAGGTATACTGCTGGATAAGGGTATTGTTTTGTGAGGCTTGTTTTCTTTTTTTTATATATATATTACAGGCATGTGTTACTATTCATATGTGTTTCTTAGTGTTTCACTGTCACAATTTTTAGAAGCACTAAGGATGAATGCTCATGCTTTTTCATGTCCTCCTAGTGCAAAGAAGAGGGTTATTACTATTCTTTTGTTAAATGTTTTTTCATTTTTTTTAATGTCAACCCACACTAAGAAGTTTTAATATTAAACACAACTTTCTGTGTGTGATACCTTCTGATATTTTTAGTTCTAAGTTTGTTTTATTACCCACTGGTGGGTTAAGACCTACAGTTTAAAAACTACTATGTTCCAAATGGATTTCTCAAACTTCAAAGTGTATTAGAATAGCCAGGGAGTCTTGCTGAAATGCTGATTATGATTCTGTGGGACTAGGATGGAGTATGAGAGTCTTCTAGCAGGAAATGATGATTGCTGTTTATCTGAAGACTATACTTTGGTTATCAAGGTTGTAGATTTTACCTTTTTTTAAATCCATTTTTACAGTCATTTAAAATTTCCAGTCTCCTTCCCTGCCACACTTTGCCTTCTGTTTCCTATCAGATCTCTGTCCTCCATCTCTTTTTGTTTACTTCATTCTTTATATATTAAACACATGAGAGCAATTTGCTCGATATTAATTACCATGTAAATGATAGCTTTTGTGGGGGTTCCTTTGTGAATTATCCACCTTTCAATTGTTGTTTCTGTGTAACTGAAGTCAGTAACTGTGTAACTGACTTCATCCATATCTTTTTGTAATCCTTTACAATTAAATCCTTCCTGATTTAAATCTTATAACCTAATCTTTGTGATCCTAATTTAAGCACATCATCTTCTGTCATAAGTCATCTTCTCTAGGACCCATTTCATATGTTAATACCCTTGATTTATCACGTATCTGGAACACAATTCTTTAGAATCATTTCTCTTCTATAGTACTTCATTTTTCATATGAAACCAATTTATGCATTATTTTTTTTTCCCATCACATTACTTTCCTGCAGGTCTGGGGTTCATTAACATATATCCTTAGCTGGGTGTTGTGATGCACATCTATAATCTCAGCTACTTAGGAGGCAGAGGCAGAAGGATTGAAAGATTGAGGCCAGCCTCAGCAACTTAATGAGTTCCTGTATCAAAATAAAATTTTAAAAGGGATGGGGATGTAGCTCAGTTGTAGAGCATCCCTGGGTTCAATCCCCAGTACAAAAAAAAAAACACCAACAAAAAAACCCCCAAAGCCTCAAATCCTTGTTTCTCTGTGAAAGTTCTATTTTCTTACTTCCATTCCTTCTTTAAAGTGTATAGTTTAAACCAAGACATGGTGTACCAAAACCATAGTATACAGAGGTCTTCTTTAAGCTTCTTTTGATCATATTGTTCCCTAACCACACATCTGGCATTGGTTTCCTCTGGTAGCTGTGTTTACTAATCTTAACTTGTTTTCTCATTCATTTCTCATCCATGTTGTCTTTTTTTTTTTTTTTTT